TCAGTACACGTTGCACATCTTCCACACTTTGACACCGGATAACTGAATGAACGAGGATTTACATTCACTTCCGAGGTTACTCTCGCCGCTTCCTCACCGTTGAGCAGCAGGAAGAGCTGGCGACAAGCCGCGGATGAAAGGCTTGAGCATCAACAGCCCAAGCGCACTCCGTGCCGATGCGGGCGACGCGGGTTTCTGTCAACCGGGAGGCCAGCACAAACCGTGACCGTTCCAGCTCTTCATCAAGACACGGTGTTGCAGAGAGCAGGATAAAATACAACTACACGGATCACCGAAGCAAAGGCACGGCTATCGTAAATCTTGGCTTGTAATTGCGCCTTTCTAGTAGATCATCTTTTTCGTTTTGCTGGAGAGACACAAACGACGGGCATAACAAAATCGCTTGCATATTCCGCATACCTCACAAAAGCATTGACCCCGTCACCTTGCGAAAAGCGCGAAACATGGAGTCCACACAGTCCTAAGCTTCCCCTGTTTTTTTACCTGCGTTAGAGCAGTTTGTACCTGCTAGTAGATATGCCTACTGAAACTGAAACAGGGCAGTGCCACAGAGAAAGAGACAAAGTTAGGAAAGCTTGCTCGCTCTCCAATTTCTCAACTCTCAAGTGATTGTACCATAATAAATGCACCAACGCTTCTTCCCAAAATAAAGAAAAAGCACTACGTTCACTGTGTAAAGAATGTTCTCAGTACATGCATCTGTGGGGAGGTAGGAAACCTTGCCAATTTATTCACGCTGCATGATGGGCGCAACACACTCCTTGCAGGACCGAATCATCTACTCGAGCGGTGTGCGTCGCTGTACAAACGCAGTTTAACACGAAGTATAAAAACGGCAGATTTAGGACAACAATCCGGAGTCCCTTATTCAATTAAAACGACGTAATTTTGTTGAAAACGCCCGCTGCTTCTTACTCACGGTATCTGTCGGATTACTTCCACAGTTTGAAATGAAACGAAAAAAGATTTACTTTTAAAAACGCTCACTGCGTCCTCCCGGACCAGCTGGACCGGATCAGCTGACGACGACGGGACTGAACCCGTTGAACCTCCACCCCGCAACAAAGAATTTGCGCTCCGTGTTAAAAGCGCGGTTCAAACAGACCCGGAACACAAAGCACCGCACCACACACGACGAACTTTTCAGCTCTTTTTCGCATCGCCGTGTTGCACCAAACAGAACGAGATCGCCGAAGTCAACGCCGCGCTGTCGCGAACCTTGGCTTGTGGTTGCGCACTCGTAAACCCTGTGGCTCTCTTCGCTTTCAAAGCACTCACGACGATTACGATTGATACTTTCCGTCTTCTGGGAACATCACAGGGGCACTTCTCCGGTCACGTCTTCGCAACATGTGCTTGCAAACCTACGAGCTTCTAGCGTCCCGACAAACCAAAACAATACCGGCGCCATGCTAAACGTGCGTTGTTTCCAGATTTTTACCGACCAAACAAAGGTAACGGAAGCAAACCGGCTCTAGCTTCCAGCGTACATCAGCGTTGCGCCGTGGCCAGATTTTCTCTGTCAGCTCTAACTTAAAGATGACCTACAGACGCAGCAACTGGTATACATTTTTAATACGGCGGCCACTACGGAGCGCCGTAAAGGCTGAGGAGGGTGCATAATAAGTAGGGTGTGTACTTTCCGGTGTTTATTTGTAAGAAAAATCGGCGGATGTTTTTCGGTGTTTATTTTTTTTCAAAACACCGGTGTATTTCGGTGGAACGTCTCACGACAAGGCTAAAATCGGTGATTATTGGTGGAAAAAAATGCGATTGATCACAGACAGAGAGTTCCAATTTTATTCACATATTTCATACACTTCTTTTTTAGGAAGCATCTTTTTCTCACACTTGGTTATTATAGCAGATGCAAGCATACTTTGAGAGGCTTGCGTCTGTCATGGCAGCAAGTTGCTTGCGGTTCAAACCCACAATTATGAAAACGCACGCTCCTGTATGACACGGACGTTGGCAGTGTCTTCCAGGAACCACAGCAACCTCTGAATACGTGGCTTGCACCGACATCACTTGGCCAGACACAATGGGGAAAGGGCAAGAGAGCCTACCCTCCTCCGCGTTAATTGTTCCACAAAAGGGGGCCATGGGAGATACAATAGGGGAAAGGCGTGTGACAGCTTAGCTTCCACTGCGTTCACTAGACGCTTTTGACCCCCAGAAAGGAGGGCGGACTGACGCCATGTGCAAGTCATGTATAAACACTGGAAGGATGCAGGATCCACGAGATAACACGCTTGACGCACCTCTACGGGGAAAAGGTTTCGCTAGGTCGGATTCATGCCACGACCGGTGTTTATCGGTTTTAACCAGAACGAAAAAATCCAACCACCGGTGTTTTTCGGTTTTAACCGATTTTATATTTTCGTCACCGACGGATGTTTATCGGTGTTTTTCGGTTAAAACCGGAAAATACACACCCTAATAATAAGCGACGGCACCTTCGCTTGCAGTTGACGGGTTGAAGGCAAAACGAAACCAACTGCAATATCACGTGTTCAGATAGAGGGCACGCTTTTTATTCCAATTTTAACTGTTTAAACGAGTAATTTGTCCCATAATTTTACTTGTGGTATGTAAGAAACCATTATCAAGACCCCTAAAATAAATACAAACATGGGCGACATGAGGAAAGCCGCACTGCCATCGACCAGAATCAATGGCAGGAATGGCAGCGAGCGCGATAAGCGCGGGGTTCGCCACGTCCCGCGACATGGCGTAGTTGCTTTTGGTGCATATCTGTCTCCGAGACATGTTTCTTTGCGTGGCATTTCTCTCAACGATCCTTTCTAGATGTGTCCCCAAGCATTCCGGTGCTTCGATAGCCGGCAGTGCTGCGGTCGTCGTCGGGGGTAATGCGTGTTTTCGAGGACGGCTACACGGCTATGCGTGTATGACCGAACCAAAACACGTTTCTTACAACCTCGCATGATTTTTGATCGAATTATTCGTTACTGAACGTGTAAATTTATGGTAATTTGTGTAAATAGCGTGTTTTTCACCCCAAATATTCGCTAAATACATGGTACTTGCTAACAGTGTAGTTCTAACAGAGCACTGTGGACGATACAATAGTCTTCACGACGTAGCAAAGAATCCTTCCCGTGGTTCCCTCTATTTTAAATACGTAAAACTTAATATTGAACGCCCTGTATAAACGTTAAAGTAAATATAACTTTTTCTGATAAATGCCTTACTTAGATTTCCTCGTTACATTACTTAGATTCACTCGTCTTTATGTAGAGGTGGAGTCTGTCGCAGATGTTGACAGTCTATACTTTGTTTCAGCTTAAGTCTAGACGCAGTTGATCCTACGAGCGCGAGCATGTGGCCCTGGACAGTGCTTTCACAACACGAGTGTGCGTGCTTGGCAGGAATGCTGAAAGCCCGGAGCTCGCGCTCGCAGCATCGGCTGCGTCTGTACTTCAGCTGAAACGAAGTATAGCTACTGCAGATGGGAACTTCGGGAGCCAAACCGAACAATCTTGACCACATAGGTCTGCAAACTTTTATGTTATAGATGTACACACATTTATCTTCTCGTATATATTTTTCCATCCTTCCGATTGACTACTTATCCAGGAACGAACAGCCTATTTAAGCACTCGAAAGGCTAATTTCACGTCAAACTGGTAGTTTACAGCCGGAGCTCAATTGATCTAACCTAATTTATATATATCTCAAAGCTCACTTTCGTATGTTCTAACGCTGCAGTTTAGCAGTAGCTAGTTGGTGTTTTCGCTCCTTAGATATATTAAAGAACAAACGTGCTTTCATGAACTTAAAACGCCAATTTTCCCAAGGACAAACCAAACTTGAGATATTAGTGGCAATGCAAAAGAACCTCGCGGTGGGCCTTTATCCTGATCCATACGATACGAACTTTACTTCATATTTCGTATTTACAACGCCGAAAACCGCAATTCACATCAGGCTTTACTTCCCCGGCGAGTGACGTCGCGAGAAATTGCAAGTTAAACCGCACCATGTGAACCAGGCGTTAGGAACGTTCGATGTTTTAAAAGAGAGAAGTATCAAAGAGAATTGTTTTGACTTTGCAAAATTGTTCCCTGGTTTCTTAAAAAAAGAAAATTAAAATGTCCAACGAGAACGCCTTTCACTTTTGATATAAGAATACTTAACTCAGTAGTAAGCAACAGAAAATGTGTGGCTTTTATTTCTAACTTGTGATCAAGAAAATTGTGCTTTTTAGTGTTATAAACAAATTCAACCTCTAGCGTCATTTTTTCTCGTAAGTTCCAGTGAGTAGTATGCAAAGAGGATATTCGCAATCCACGTAAATTGAGCTAAATCTAGCGGATGATGAATGTCTTTATCTTCAATTTATTTTTTGTTTAAAGTCCAGGATAAAGCAGACTTAGAGGATTGCATAATCACGTAGGTTCATCTTAATTGGCCGTCGTTGCCCCAAATTTAATTTTTTTTACGCGTCAAACTTCTTAATACCTGCTTCTAAATGATTCTAAAAATTTCCTATCTACTGTCTGTCAGAACACGTAAATGGTGAGGTTAAAGTCTCCATCCAGAACCACGAGAATGAATAGATGGATGCCTAAGGCTGAACACTTTTCCTCTGGCGGCGGCTTGCGCTACTTAATTGCAGGGTTTCAGGGTGCATCGAATAAGCCAGTACCGCTTCCAGAATGTGACCACGGATTGACTAATGCGAATGGGTCGATCTGACGCAAAGGGGCCACATTTGGTCCTGCTGCTTTATTGCGTGCAGAACTAGTTCGTCTGTCGAAAAGCTGTTCTTGTGTGATTTCATGAACATTGACGCAAGGAAGCGCTTACGAAAGCAACCAAAATATTGACCTAATATAGAGGATGTCTCCACTTTGGATGCGGCGCTGGCATTAAGGCACCACATGAGAGAACTTACGCTACGCCATCTATCGATGGCAATAAACGGCTGTCTGCTGACCCTATTTCTCTGCACGCAGGCTTTATTCAGAAAGGCATCTGCTTTCCTCCTGGCGGCCACAAAAGGAAAATTCTACTTCAAGGAAGTCATAATCAGTGTGCCCAGCAGGTGGCCACCAATGGGCCGCAAGAAGGTCTGGGAGGACCTGTTTAACCAAGCCGACGTCCAGGTGGTCTCTGGCTTGAAAGAACCGGACACTCTGAATCCGAGTCGTTCCTTTCCGGGGGACTTTAATCCAGTCCGGTTTCCGTCCGAGTTTGTCCGCGACTTGAACTCAACAACAACCAAGAAGTTCGGGAAACCAGGTGAGCGACAGAGCCGCGCTAAAAACGCTGAATGTCACTGAGTACCTTAGGTAAAAACGAATGCATTAAAATATACTAAGTTTGTAATGTTATTAATCTGTCGCGAAGGGAGTACCGTATTTACTCGAGTAATAGCCGCACTATTTATGAACAAGTCCCGTGTGTCCGCTTTCCCACAGAACAAATATACAGCCAATCATTGCGTTGCGCCTAAATAACATAGCGAATAACCAGATCGAGAACACGATGGTCCATACAAATGCAACCTTCGCAGATGGTATCTTCGCACGAAGACGTAATCTCTGTCCTGTAAACAGCTGGAATCATGCTGTCGATCGCGGTGATTGGCAACCTGCGTGCTCCGCGAAAAAGCGAACGCTCAGGTTTTCTTCATAAACGGTGCGGCTATTACTCGAGTAAATACGGTATATGTTGTTTTTACTATACGTATCTATTACACGTATATTGTTTATATGCACAGTATAGCTCCCAGACTGGGGTTGCTCGTTCCCTACTCTTCAGATACTAAGTCTATTATTAAATGTCAACTTCTGACACTAAAAGTATAGCGAGACTATTCTTGAAGTGATCATTTAGTTTGTGAAGCTTCAATAATAGTGTTCTTTCAGTTAATTGGATTTCCATCAAAGGCAGGAACACGTTTTGTTAAAAAAGGTTCCCAAGATGGCACCTACTGGCGGCCGGATTGTTCACGTCACTGCATATCCGTGAATCGTCCATCTCCCAAGCGCACTCACATGAAAGCCGTGAGGAGATGACGACAGCGAGGACGGACCGAACCACTTCGCGAATCAACAGTGCCACACACCGAGCTCACTGCGGTGCCGCTCTCCAAGAGAGAAAACGATGTTTGTCGCTGCGGCTGCAGCACCATCATGTCACTACGAAGATAGAGTCGTCGTGTTTCACAGTTACGTACCAAGCAAGACCGAATACCGTAAAAAGCTAGAGCAAAGCGCCCTTTGCTTTTCTGATCCGTGGGTATAACTATGGTCCCGTTCGAGGAGGCTCGCCGTAGACAGTCATTGAATCCCGAAAGAGTAGCGCTATTGCCTTCCTTGCCTGCTGCAGGACACAAACTGACCCTAAAGGCTGAACTCCATGGGGCGTATATTCTGCGAATAACCGACGGATTTTGTCCGGCGGCGTTCGGTCTGCGCTAGGAATCAACACAGTGGCTGCTACGTCGCGCGCAAAGCAAGCGTGATGTCGGGCGGCGTTCGCCAGTTATTCGCCACATAATTCGTTCCATGGAGTTCATTCAACCTTAACATAGTGGCGACCGAAATTTCGCAAGATTATTGGCTGATGGGTATTTGTTGCCATGGTAATCACCATTTCGTTTACTTTTCCCCACATCGAAGCATCAAAAGCGTCCTGTAAAAGTGCGATATGAAGCATCATTGCACTAAAAGTGATCTTTGCCAATATAAACGTCATTGGCACTGTGTATGCAATCAACGAAGAAAGTATGCTGATTTCCACAGATTTTTTACAATAATATTCTTCTTGCATTTTTCAAGAAAGGCAAATTATGTTTCCATGCCACGAAGCACAGATGCCGCATTGAAGCGAAGATGCAGGCTTGCTTGGCCGGTGTGGATAAACAATCTGGGCATACAGAAAATGCCTTTACAAAGCAACCTGTCACCGCGAATCGGATCGGCTCACTAAGAATGGAGAGATCGAGGAGAAACTGCTGATTCCAAGGACCAAAATGGCGACCATACGAGGAGTTTGGCGCTACTTTCTTCGGATCCAGTTACTTTATACGATAGAAGCGGCGATGCCCTGAGCTCGCAGAGGGACGTTTTCAAATGCGTTCACGCTCAGCTTGCTCGCGCAGAACGCACCAGTACGCAAGAGCCGCAAAAACGCTCTGTGTAAATCAGGGGTTGGCTGGGAGGGCCGGAGAGATCGCAGCGTGCTAGATGAGTTTTCCTAGAAGCTTCTTCACATGGACCCGGTGAAGTATCAGAACCTGCAGCGCGTCAGAGACATAATTCCAGCAGCTCCTATCAAGCGTGTAACTAAAAATCGCGTGACGAAGGTGTAATGAAACCAACGCCAGTGGCCATCTCTGTTCAGCCCGTTTTCGAGCACAAATCGAGTTGTTAAAACCTTACAGTTTGTCGGGGGTGCTCGAAAGTGTTCTTTAGAGCGGGAAATGGTTCATAGACGGCCACCGTATAATATTCCGCTCACTGTTTAGCCTCTTTACGTGGATGATATTTAAGCAGTAAATGTTTTGATGGCATTTGCTCGTCTTCCTCTCCATTCAGAGTACCATCTAATACATCACTGGGCCAACCACCGCTACGGCGTCTTCGCGGAGCACGCTTCCTCTCCCGACAAGGCGCTCTACTGCAGTAACAACAAAGTGAGTGTACGCAGCATTCCGGAATTTCCCCCCTGCCTCCCATGAGGAAACCATGATACGGAAGCTGACGCCCGAAGTCCGGATGAACCAGCCTTCCAGCACGCAAATTTATTTACTCAGTGAGATAGCGGATTCTCTCTATGGCGAGGCGGGCTCCGAAAGCTAGCTATTAGGGAATTTTCGCAGATCGTTTTGGCAGTCTCGCTACACTGTCCGCAACCCGGCACCATACACGGAACTCTACAGTTAAAGCCATTGGAGCGCAGGCGCAGTAGCGGCTTCTTCATTGCGGAGGACTTAGCGGAGGGAGAAACGCGGTTTTCAAAAAAAATTGAGTTTACGAACATTTCTTTCCGTAAGCCTCCTTCAGTTTAAAATTGCGATCGTCACATCGAAAACCTTACGCATGCAAGGCAGAGTGAGAAACATGTGCCATTCTTGTATCTCTATTGCGCAAGTGGGTGGATCGCGAAAAGGTGAGATGCACGAAGCACTCTCGGAATATGTCACTCCTCGCAATATTTCGCAAAGGAAGGAGTTGTCTGAAAAGGAGATAGCTCTGCAGAAGGTGGCTGCTGAGCAGCGCTGCGAACACGGAAAGCCACAATTTCCTTAGCGGACGCCTGAAATTTCCTCCTTTCTCCCGAAGTTTCCCTCGCTTGCCAGGATGATTATATAATAAATATTCGTTGTTTTCTACACAACTTCCATTCTTAATATAGGGAATATATTAGAGTGCAATTTCGTCTGCTTCTTGTACAGGAGCCGCGATGATGTCAGAGCGCCGAGCTCTTATCGGCTGATTGAAAAAAAAATAGTGTGAAATAAAATAAAAAATAGTTCTGTAATTGGCAGCCGCAGACCGTCTTTGCGAAGCGGCGTGAACGCAGGCGGGGGGCTGACTTAACACGCTCCCCAGCGATACACGCGCCGTCCGAATCCCAAATCGAAGTTCCCGCGCGTTGCTATGTGTGGCGGCTGCCGCATTTATTTCCACGAGCAGCCTATCCGATGTGAGCGGTGTTGCTGGGCTGTCTACCGCCTGCTCCGCAAAAATATACGCCCCGGACTGCTAAGAAAAAAAGAATCGTTTTTATGCGACAGCAAAAATGAACTGCTCGTCACCTAATACTCAAACTCTATCCGAATATAGTGCTTGCGACAAATACGAGGCAATTGGTTTCAATGGCCAACGTTGTCAGGTTTCGAAATCAAAGGTTAGTTCAGAAAATATTCTGCGAATCTAATACGTCCCGTTTTCTGCAACAGATGTTGCTTGTCTCCTTGTATTCTCAAAGTCTGCCTGCCTTCGTTTAGAGCGGACTCTTAAGCGCGATCCAAGACTGATTTGTGCGCGCGGAGACGGTGCGGCTCCCGCAAAATGCGTATTTCGTGACGTCGCGCTGATTCCGTGCGTGTTCCTGGCGCGCATAAGAAAGTTGGATGATTTCAACTTTTTTGAATGCGCAAGAAAACGCGCTGTGAGGTAGTAGGGCGCTCCCCTCCCGGCCAATCAGTTTAGGGCACTAGTTCCGGCTCCGCGTTTCTTCGCCGTCTGGCGCAGATGCTCTCCGCTGGCCCAAGCGACAGCGTCCTAACCAACCCGCATGGTTGTGACTTAGAAAGCGCGCCGGAAGCAGCAAAAACGCGACGAAATGCGCAATATCAGGGAAGCGCATTCGCACGCACACGAACACGTTGGTTTGGATCGCGCTTTAGGCGCCCGTTTCCGGCTTGAACGGCGTCACCATCGGCGTAACCGTGCCTGTGCCCGGTTACTGCCATAGGCCCAATGAAGTCAATTTCTGGGTAAACTGGGCGCTCAGCAGCGCTTCCGTGGTCGGAGGCGCTCGTTACTGCAACGAATCAGCGACTCATTGCTCCATCGATAGATTGCGAACTAAAATAATATACAAAAGCCATATTCATAAAATGGAGCGCTAACGTTTTAATTATGACTTTTGACGCCGTCGAGCTGGCTTGAGTGTCTTCCTAGCCATTCGCGAAGACGAAGCCGCTCAATATCCAACAACATGGCGCGGCCCCTCTGCCGTGCTCTGCCGCTGCTCCCTGCCCCGGTACCGCCGGTACCGCGGTAGGTTTTGTTTTGAAATTTACGGTTCGCGCGTGCCTTGCTACTTGTTACGGCAAAGAATTGTATATTCTGCTTGCCTTCCTTGTGTCCAGCAGTTGACAGTCCGTTACTTGTCGTCGGAGTCTTCCAGGAAATCGAAAGAGATGCAGCATTTTTCGCACTGGTTGACGCATTTATTGAGTCATTTGCAGGACAAGGAAAAACAATTTACAGTGTCTCTTCAAAGAAACGTTGCTACGCGGAAAATAAATTAAGAATGCGCGCAGTATCTATGTTATCAAGAGGTGCTGCAGTGGAGATACACTGTGCGACACTGTTAGCGCGAACACGATATACTGCTTTTTCACTTTTAAAGGCTATCAGCGGGCAGAAAATATTACTGAGTTCGCCAAGTGACTATTTTATGTTTCGTAAACTCAGATGCAACTATGACGCGAGAATATCTGTCTTCGCGATTGAAAAACACAATACAGTCGTGTGTCGCTAACATCGTCGATCGTTTCGGTCACGTGGTATATAAGCCATATTTTCGGGGACTGATATGTGTCCGCTTACAACTCTAAATCGTCATGTTAAATAAAGAAACCTGGAGTACGAATTATGGTCAGCTAGGTTGGGAACGAAATGGGTAAATACATGTATTTTTTTATATTTTTATTGTCGTCTCCGTAAAAAGAAACAAAAAAAAACACGAAAGAATGTTAGTGGGACAAAAAAGAATAGTAAAGCTGCTCGGTTACAGAATTTACACAGAGCTTCACCATTGTCAGTTAAGACATTGGTGACTGTCAATTACTAAAATTTTCAGGGGTTTCTAGCCCGAATCACCTGCAGTTCTTTCCCTATCCCAGTTGCAAATGACAAAAATGAACAACATACCACCTTCATTACTTATTATTTGTGATCGTGGCATTGATTCATGATTATGGATAACTAACATTATAAAGAATTGTTTAGGGGACTGGAGATGTTCATTTTAAAGAGAAAATACTGTAATGGCAAACACGAATGTTTGTTTCTGTGGCATGAAAACAGAATAATTATTATTTCTGATATGTGTTATATAGAAGCAAACCCAGTGTGAAGTAAATATGCAGCCCTATTGGTTGTGGAATCTCAAATACCAACCGAACGTATATTACGATAAAATATCAATTGTTCAACCTGTGTAGTAAGACAATAACGCAAACTTTAGTGGGTCAGATATTGTCCATCAAAACTTGAGATCTCAAAGAGTGAAACTCTCCAAATGGGAGTTTGAATTCTAGTTGCCAAAGGTCCTGGTATCACTGGTTCGAAGCATCAGATCCCTCCCCCCTCTCCCTCTAAAGAAAAGAACTGCCCAAAGATTGTTGGCCACCAGCAGGCTAACAACTAGTATGAACAAAGTGGATGCTCAAAGTGGATGCTCAAAGGCTTCTTTCTGTAAAGACTCTGTTATACTCCGACGTAACGCGCGCGCAAGCGAACGCTGGCCGAAGTCGGCTACGTCACGTCAGTCACGCCGCGTGCCGTCAGTCACGCGGCGTGACTGACGGCACGTCAGTCACTCCGGCGGCCCTGGCGGCTTCCGCGGCTTGCGTCGGTGGGCCGTGGGCGCGGCGCATGCGCAGAATCTGACTACGAGGGCACGTTTCCTGCGAGAGTGCGCCACTTCCGGTTCCTTTTCGTTTCGAATAGCAGACGAAAATTCCCGCGCTTCTTGAGGGCCAAGTTCGAGCGATGGCGTGGACGTACCTTGCACGACGAAAACTCGCGCTTGCATTGTTGGTGCACCGCATGCGCCGCAAGCGTAGGCGGTCAATGTACATACGGTGTAACTTTGACAAGCACCCGGTTTACGGTACTCAAGCTTCCTCGTGTCGTAGACACACGGGTAAGGACGAATTCCCTCGTTCAGCTTCTCGACCGACCGAGTCCAATTCTTGAAACATGACGCCACACGGAGTGGTGCTCCTGTCGTCCGCTATTGCTCGTATTCGCCGCGCTTCCCACGCGAGGGCTCCCAGGAGCCAGCGCGTGATGCATCCTGGCCCGGCGTCGCTGGCACGGCCGACGCGGAATACGGCATGCTCCATTTTGGCGTCGAGGCGGTCAGGCTGCGTCGAACGCCGCCGGTCGCGTGGGTTACGCGGAGTATAGAACTTCGGGTTTTCGCCGACGTGACGTCGCTGTGACGCGCTCGTACGCGCGTACGCGTTACGTCGGAGTATAACAGAGCCTGAACAGGGCCTTTAGTCTATGATGTTGCTTTATAAAAATCATGCAAAGAGCAACCTGGGACAATATTGTCTCTCGAGGACCTCAAGAAGCACAGCCGAAAGATTTCATGCTTAGTTGAAAGCTCGTGTCATTCTGACTGGTCCATGCAAATAAACACAATGCATTGTTATTTGGGGGCAAACTTGTTCGTTGCTTACTTACAGATCTGAACCAACATATTCCTTAATATTCCTTATTCCTCCAACAAGACATATTCCTTAATATTGTGTACACCTTGCTGTCTATAGACGACTTCGGTATTTCTCATTTCTCTTGGCCTCTTGAGGAGCTTCCGGTACCTGTCGCTGGCACCGTCGAGTTGAAACATGAGTTGAACCAGGTTTTCTTGGTGTGGCCACCGAGATCCTATGCTGCCCATGGAATGCACCAGCCACTTCATTGTGCTTTCTCATTTTGCTCTATGGGTGTTCTCTATCTCCTCAGGACTTGCACGGGAGAATGTAGGAACATATTAGTTTGTGTCGTCGCAACACACACACTTGCAGAATAGAAACAGGTCTACGAAACATTCCATAGTGCTGCTCCTACTATCCTTTTGTTTTTGCTATCATCCTCTTTGCTCCAGCCTTTCCCGTTTTACATTACAGTTGACCGTAGATTAAACTGCACAGATCACTATGACGGAAATTAGCATGCTGATGGTTATATTCAGCTTGATAGGTTGGCCAGCAATCAAGTGCACTTTACAAAAAGTGAGCGCAGACATTACCTTTCTTTATTGGGGTTCCCTGTCCCTGAGCCATGTTGGTTTGATTTTCATGCCTTGAGAATCTGTATGGATACACAAAAAAGAACACATAATACAAATGTTGCTATTTTATGTGCAACAAAAGGGGAAAAAAATGCCTAACGTGAGTTTCATTTGTTTTGAGGGGAGTGCGTTGGTAGGTGTAAAATCTTGCGAAAGAATTATGCATTGAAGGACGAATAGCACATCTCGCAATCAAGCTCTGCTATTGGCATTCTGCCCTTCTGTGCGTAAATTTTACGAGATTTTAAAAGTGTCTTTCAAAATTAAATTATTTTACTATCCAGCTTTCTATTTATTACTGAAAGAAATAAAACATGGCTAACTAGTCGCAGGGCTCTGAAAGTATCTACATGAGATACATTAATAAAAAAAGGCACATGTTGTAAGATACGAACTCTGTGAAATATGAAACTGGCAGAAGTATATTCATATATAGACTACAATTTACTCAACGGGGATCTACACTGCTCTGCACGATATCGACGAGATGCAGAGGAGGTGAGATTTCGCCAACAGTGTACATATCATAAAATATTTGCAGGAGGGTCTTCATCCACAAAACCACGTGCTAAAAGCGCTCGCCGAAATGTGTGCATCGTAATAAAATCACGGTGGCATTTTGTGAATTTCAAAAATAAAACGATATATTCAATCGCCTAAAAGAGTGCAAAACCCTCAAATGGAGCAATTTGTGTCTGGAAGATCAGCTCAGGAAAAGTTTCAATTAGGGTGAAAACTTTCAAACTCACCATCGTCAGTTAGGATCCGAACGAACAGGTGCTTCTTGTCCCCGACGCTGCTTGGGCACCACTTTCCGTAACAGCAGGAATGAGGTAGTTCAAAGACGCGAAAAGCCTTTCAATCGCCCGAAAATGCGAGTCTCGCGCAGTGCGATGATCGAGGCGCCGACGCTTGATGCACCGAAGGCGAGCGAAAGCACCGACCAGGGTGTAAGATAGACAGGTGGGGAAACGCCGAAACGGCCCATAGAAGCCTACCGCAGCGCCGTGACCGGATTGTGTACTCGTCTGCTTGCGGGTACTCCCGATTTGCAACAGATGGCGCGGCGGCGAGAGGAAAAAAAGTCAGAATCGGATTTGCGTGAAACTCTATGGGAGAGTGCGCAAAATAGACCGAGAGCACGACAGTCCTCCATTGAAAATCCACGAGAAACAATCGCCGTCAGTTTAGGCGGTCGCCACCGGTCGCGCACCCGGAGTGAGAGTTCACGGTTCTCCACATAGATGGCGCCACAGAAAAAGAGAAAACCGAAGGATACACAATCCGGTCACTCATTTGGCTCTCGTTTCCCCACCTGTCTATCTTACACACTGGCACCGACCGAGCAGACTCACGGGCACCTTCACAACGGTCCACCAGTTTCGGAGCGCGCAGAGTGCAAGCGCGCATGGCACAGGCAGCGGTTTCGTTTAAGAAGCGCTAAAAACAGAGAAAGGGCACAATTTCGACAGCGTGATGTTGACACGAACTTTTAAAAATATGCTATATTTTTAAGAATACGCAACTTGTATTTAAAGAAATAGTATGCAGTTAAAACTAGAGCTAAATGAAGTTTGATTCTTGATTGTTTTGTTTAGTTTTTAGTAACGAGCACCTTCAACCACGCGAGCGCTGCTGTACACCTTGACGGTGGCGCCATCCCTGTTCCGGCCGCGCAACTCGCTTTTTGTCTGGTGGTTGACCGCGCGTTGCATTATGGGACGCTTACCATAATTACGTCACACGTGACGTCACTTGTAACGTCACGAGGGTAAACTTTTCCGGCTAAAATTGTCGGGAAACCTTTTCCTCTAAATTTAGCGGGACGTTTCCCGCAATAACGTAAAATGCGACGTCACGTGTTACGTCACGTGACATCACACGTGAATTTTCGTATCACATGACGTCACACGTCAGTTCGGCAGAAATATTTCTTGCTAGATTTCCCGGAAAAATTTCCCTGCTTAATATATTAGGGAAGTGCTACCGCTAAATTTAGCGGGAAACTATTCCGCTAAATTTGGAGCAAAAGAATCCGCGTCAAACTTAGCGAAAAAATTTCCCGCCATTCAAGAAAAAAATTTCACTTCCAAATTTAACGAGAAAATTTTGCCCTCGTGGCATCACACGTGACGTCACGTCCTCTCTCTCTCCGTTCCCTTCTCTTCTCCTCCCCTACAATTTAGCGGGTAATTTTCACTAAATTTTCCGCTAAAATTACTGAAACATTTTTCGGCTAAATTTAACAAAAAATTTCTTCGCTAAATTTAACCGGAACGTTTTTGTCGCTAAATTTAGCGGAAAAATGTTCCGCCAAATTGAGCGGGGAAACAACGCGCTAAATTTAACGGAAACATCTTTCCGCTAAATTTTAGTGGGAAATTTGCGAAACATTTACAGCTAAAAGGGAGGGGAACAAGAGGAGGAGGTGAGGGTGCGGAGGGGCATACCCTCATCTCCGTACCCTTCCTTCCTCCTCCTCAAGAGCTGCGCTCTAATTCGGCATTACAGAGAATTGTAAACGTCTTTCATTTTCTCTGATATAAATATTTGTAAAATTGCTAGCGACCTTACAATAAGATAGCGTGTTATGTTTCTGTTATTTCTTATTTCCTCAGATGGAGGCCACAAGATGCACTGATGAGATCGGATTCAAACTAAGCAACGCCCATGGGTCGGTTTGTCCAAAAAATGATGCCTGCACAGACATGTCTGACCTCTGTGACGTCGCCTTTCACCAGGAAAAAGAGCCAGCTCCAGCGTCTATCATGTTCTTACCGTACCTAAACGGGGTAAGCTTTGCTTCTAGAACGCTGTCTTTTAGGCCAACGGAATTTCACAGTCCCTTCACTTTTGTGTCTAATTCTTGCTGGAGTCATCACATCTACCCCGGTACCTGCTGTTACTTTTATATTTAAGAGGGAAAGGGGAGTTAAAACTGAACGCTAGTATTTTTTCAAGAGAAGAGGGTCAAATGAGTATTGTTTTCCCACGTAATTTCAATTTTTAATTGCAAACATGAATGAAAACTTGTCATGCTCTCTTAGCACAATTTACGTAAAATACTCAACAAGTGTAAAACATTTTTTTCATGTCCTCGCAAAAGCATTCGCTTTGACTCGTTTCGTCCTTTTTTTCTTCTTCCTTGCTAGGTGTCCCAGTTCTGCGACCAGGACACCCATAATCCCGATGCTCCTAATTTGCAAAACGAGCGTCACCAAGGAGTGTCCACCTGGGATGTGATAAGCAAACACGATGACTTTCTTCGGTGAGATTTGTTCAAGGAACTCATTAGCATGGAAGCAAACAAAGCGTTCACAACAACTCCTGTTTATGATGTCACCGCAAAGCACTCTCTCTGGCTGGGATACGAAGTAGAGTCTCTGAATGAGTTTCCAGATTTCCGAAACTCCCAAGCTTTGTTTCGGAATCGCGTCGTGCCACTCAAATTCATCCATATTCGTGCAGAAATCTGGGATCCTTGCATAGCGCACTGTGCGATAACTGTGCGCATAGCGCGCCGTTGGCGGCGTTGTCGATGGGTCTGAGCGGTGCTGTGGATAGCACTTCAAACCATTTACGATATCAGTTACATTACAGTCAAGCTGTGCTTGTTATTCTTACCCCAGAACGGTATGACTGCTAAATTTGGGTTAAACACCTCAGGTTAGCAGTTATACCGATATGGTACGACATCTAATATTAAGGTGAATCCTCTCTCACTGTTTGAATATCTGGAAGAACCAATAATTCAGTCTGCCAGGGTAGTATGTCTGGTGTTCTCATTGCAGCCGCGTAGCTTATCGGTCAAAGCTTAGCCGCTTATTTCCGTCATTAAACTGAGCCGCCCGTATTTGCTTTTCGTTTTTTTAATGGTTTTTCAGTATGCAAAATACCGTCGTATAGAAAAATCATCACCTCATCAGTGTATTTACAACTGCATACAAGGTTTCATGACTGAACAGGATTGGGAGAGCATAAAACATAGTCTCAAGCTCCTTTGATTGCTTGACACTTGCTTTGCTGGCCAGACGACGGTGGCAGCGAAGTCCAGCAATGAATTTCCCATGACGATGCTAGAGGCAGTTGGAAGTCAACGCCAGTTCTGATAATGGCTATTGCGGAAAAATACATCTGGCCGTGGCTTACGTGAATAGCTCGATATACATTCAATGGCTTTCTAAACTGGAACCACTGAGGATGCCTGCGTCACCATTCATGCTACCTGAGCAGCAAAGTAGATCACCTTCACTAGGGACATCGAGTGAGATACTTATCAAAGACCATGCTGTCAAGGCTTCATTGGTGGTGTTTGTTTTTGCCGCAAGTCAGAAAACAGTATAATCAATAAAAATACTCATATGGCAATTACTTAAATGCCCATTCATAAAATCAAATTACTTGTAATCGATTACAGTTTGGAGGGGTTTTGTAATCATTTGAATACATTTATTAGAAAGTAATCCCCAGTGTAATCTTATAACAAGGCATTCGAGAACCCGAGAGGGAGGGTTATAAGAAGAGACAACCGCAAATGTCTCAAATTCAGCATCTGCATTTTTAATCTCCACAACGTCCTTTTACAGAGCCATCCCACCCTCGTAACCTCCCCAAGTTTCCACACGCCTCCCCATGCATGTGACCACGAGCGCAGCGTCTGAGTTGGTGTTTTGTGCTGAAGAACCTGTGGGTTCTGTGATTCAATACTTGGATTTGAGATTGTTTGTACACGGTGGGCTCTGTTGAAAGTATGGCAAAGTGGCCCCGAAACCTTTGTTGCCTTTTAAGAGTTGTCATTTAAAGTTAGTTAAGAGAGGCATAAAGATGACACTTTGGGACGCTGCCCTCAGAATGACCTGTTAACACAAAAAACAAAAAAACAAAAAAAAAAAACAGTTTCTGTAAGGAATTAGTTGCTCCGCTCGCAAGATACAGGTTACAACAACAATATGATAAAAGGCGTGGCGATTAGATTTATGAGGAAGATCAGAGTGATGAACAAGGGGCGAATCGAAAAGGTTGAGCAGGTTTTGTTCGTTCTATTTTTTCATTGGTTTTCTCACAATTTATTGCCTATCACAAGAAGGTTCAAGGTGAATGTTATATTTATGACAGACTTCAAGACCAGAAGAAACACAAAGATGCCTCTGTTGATTGTCGCAAAGGCGGTGTGTATGATATCCCGATATCGTGTGTTTTTTTTTTTTTATGTCGGACAGACCAAATGGTGTTTCAATGATCTGTTAAATGAACATAAAAGAGCTACAAAAATAACTCTGCTAACTTCGAGATCGCGACGCATGTTCAGGAATGCAAAAACTGTATAGCAAAATGGGAGTAGCCGGCTGCTTTGTTCGAGGATAGGAATTGTATAAAATGTATATTAAAAGAAACCATTCAGATTGATTCCCTGAGGTATTGTATTAGTCTACCCTCAACGACACTCAATGTGGCGACAAAGAGGTTTTCGCGTTTATGAAAACAGTGTACGTTATCGAACTGTTTTTTGGAAGGGCGAGTTTATTGTTTGCCAGCGAGTTGCCCTACTGACCTTGGTGACTATCGGAATGTCGGTAAGGGACGAATTGGAGAAGAGATGACCACCCGTAGTGGGGTCCAACAGTGTGAACTTTAGATAGCGAGGCATATTGTGTTGTTGTGTCGCATGACAGTGTGTTCCCTGACCTTGGGAACTCTAACGGGGCCTGTAAGGGTCCGGTCGAAGGGAGAACCGCCCCGAAGATGGGTACAACAGATTGACTTTTAGATAACGAGACGAGGCGTGGGCAATTTCAGGGATAATGCGAGGATTGAATGGCTGTATAAAAGAAAGTTCTGGTGATTAAAAATGTATTAAAAATGTAGTTGCTGAGTTTGAGACGTTTGTGTTTGTCCCTCCTTGTACACCTTCGTCTGGGGTTGTAGACTGCCTTATAATAACCAGCACGTCTACTTAGGTAGGTTGTCTTCAGTAATCGTATTACATTTTTAAGAACTACACTTTGGAACTGTCGCTACTTTGTCCTCTTCCCTCTAAGGGCGCCCTTTGTCCACTTAAGTCTCCTACTATAGCCTGTTGCAAGTGAAGAAGGCAGGGCGAGGGAAAGGAAAGCCGGGAAGGAGAAAGCAGACGCAACGCTGGAGAGGGGAAACCTTCTCCACTGTTTAGCGTTCCCTCTGCTTCCTCCTCCCCGCCTTCCTTTCCCTCGCCCTACCTCCTTGAATCGCAATGAACTTTATAACGAATCCTGGAACGAAGTCTCCAACAGGAGGACCGTTTACCAAAATCGGTGGATTAGATCATATATCGGCGATTTTAATCCAATCACAAAGTGTACGAAAGCCTTTTTTTTAAATTTGTCTGAAAACTACGGCCAATTCGTTTTCGTCTCGAGTAATCAAATAATCGAATTAAATTATTGCTGAGCGAAAGTAATTTTAATTCTAGTTTATAACTTTTTTCGAGTAATTTGCACGAGGCTGCGCTAAACCGAGAGCTGCGCCACTCATGTTCTACTCCGTCGAAAGAGGCTTAGGGAGCGTTTTTTTGCCTCAGCCGGTCTAGCGGTTAGGTTGCGAGTGTGTAAACGGGCCATTACACATTATCCTATATGGCACTGCTGCATTGGGACCAAATCCACATCGCTAACACGAACAAGCAAGACCCGTGCAGGGTCAAGCAATTGCTTTAATATCACTACGTGACGTGGTTTATTACCTCGTTTTCTTCGTAAAAAAAACATTTTTACGATAGTTTGGAACTGTGTTGCTGGGCTCCGCCTCAGGCAATAGGCGGCGTGAAAAGTTCTATACCCATTTTTTTTTTTTTTTTGGTGGCACTTATTTAACGCAGACATTTCCAACTGCGACCGAGCTTCCCTACCGATACCGGGAATGCGTAAGTCGATAGAATTGTTTCTGTGACAGCTCATGAACGCTGCGGTAGCTCTTGTACTTACGTTTTCCACTAGATTGCAGAGCTACCCATCCGTGCTTATTGCTGCGGCTATACTGGCAGGCAGTTTAGGGAGATGGTACAGAGAGGCATTCGGGGGTCCGGGAAGGAGGCGGTCGATCGAGGTCTCTGCATGGAGACGGTGTACCACGCGAATGGAGCAGCATGAGCGCCGAGCGCCATGTAGCGAGATAAAACCACGTCATCTAGAAAAATCAAAGCCTGTCAACAGTCTGATGTACCTCCGTAGAACATAATTAAACTCGGAAGACGCCAAATCAATAGTTGCACCCGAGCTCAACCACAAGCGTTCTTTCACGCTCTGACTTGCTACGAGTTCCAGCCGTACCCCGACGCAACGCTGGTGTCTCACCAGTGTGTGCGTTTGCAATTGTAAACCCAAAGGCGTCGAAACGCTAATGTAAGGGCTTTGATTTTTCTGAGCGGTGCTGGCTGGGAGCCGGTCGTTCGTCCGGAGAACAGCCCACTGTTCTCGTCAAGACAGTGGTCTGCGTCGTACCGTCGTGGAGCTGGAAGGCCGAGAGGAACGGAAAAGCTCGCTACAGCGCCTCTGTCCTTTCTATCCAACTGCGCGTTGCTGCTCCACGTGTGCAGCTGGCTCGCGCTCACGTGACCCATGCCATCGAAAGAAATTTCTACCAAATGCTTTACCAGAGGATACGTCTCACCCCGGAAAAATGCAACGGCCTTGCATCCGATCGGTTTTGCGTTGTTAGAGCAGCTGGATGCGCGCAGCGTCGGGGGTCTCCCCTTTTGTTATGTGAGGGGTGACTGCCGTCATCTATCGTCATGGACAGCCTTCGAGACAGCTTAGACAGCCGTCTCTGCTGTCTTGGCGAATTCGGTATCTCGCAGTGTCGGCGGCAGCCGTCTCCCTTGGAGCAGCGCGAAGGCGCGACAGCGTGGAATAATTTCTCTGTGAGTCACATCTTGGGTTAGGAGAGAAAGCGGAATGAACACCTATAGCAAGAAATTCAATCTGAAATAGAAGTTCGTTTTGGTTTCATTTACAAATCAAAATGTGCCTCCTGGCGTAATTATCACGTTTAGACGGATCGTTTTAAGGGTGAAGCGATGACCTGCGCTCATAACACCCTAACTTCTTCGTATAAGCGGGACTAATTTGTATCGCTCAGTGAAACCAGCACAGTAGACAGGCGCAGCAACTAGTATGCCGGCACCCATCTGCGACCCTTACTTTAACAGCAATTTTGAAAAACCAGTGGCGCCATCTACTGTGATTTCAAGTCGCGAATACGGCAATTAAATGTCTTCTCTAAATTTAGCGATAA